TAGAGTCAGACATGACTGGACAGAGGAAACCTTTATCTTTATCTTTTAACCAGGGCTTCTTTTGTCATGGAACACTCAGAACAGAGTTCCGGCTCCTTTTTTTGATGGAATCTTGTAGGGTAGGCAAGGCGGGTTGTATGACGTGTGTGAGCAATGGATGGAAACTAACCCAGGAGAGAAGCAACCTAGAACTAAGGAGAAACTTCCTGACAATGAGAACAATTAACCAGTGGAACAACCTGCCTCCAGAAGCGGTGAATGCTCCAACACTGGAAGTTTTCAAGAAGAGACTGACAGCTATTTGTCTGAAATGGTATAGGGTTTCCTGCCTGAGCAGGGGGTTGGACTAAATGACCTCCAAGATCCCTTCCAACTTTATTATTATTATTATTAAGCCCATCGCTGGAGGATGTCAAGGAGAGACTGGACAGCCATTTGTCTGAAATGTTATAGGGTCTCCTGCTTGAACAGCGGGTGAGCTAGAAGACCTCCAAGGTCCCTTCCAGCTCTATTTTGATTGATTGATTGATTGATTGATTGATTGATTATATCACTCTGTAAGATGCCAAGAGTTGCCTTACCAGGCATGGTGGGCAGCCTATAAATTTAATAAATAGATAAATGACTCCTCACTATTTCCGAAAGAGTTAATAACACAAATCTTTGTTAGGTGGGGATGACAATTAAACCGGTTGCTCAAAACTAAGAGGACCTGCTGAAACAACTGCCAGTGGAGTCATTATAAACGATGCACATCTTCCTTTTTTGCCAAATGGCTGCTTTTACGACCGCCGAGGGACGGATTTCACCATCCAGCTGAGGACTTACTCCAACCCGAATAGGTCCACTGAGCAAATAGCAGAAGCCTCATCAAGCATTTCTAATTTCTAATGGAGTTGAGTTTTTTTTCTAATTTGATGGAGGCATGATGGATTGGTTTCGGGGGCAAAGCAAGAAGAATTTGAACGGGGGGGGGGTCTGTGTAGGAAGGAGGAGGAAACAGGCTGAAGTTCTCATGAAAACCAGACTAGTGGCTCCAACGGGTTCTAGAGGAATAACCTTGAAACGGAAAGAAACTCTCTTTTTTTTATATGTGCAAGGCATGTAGGCTCAATAGATATGTGATTCAAGGAGGAACTAAGAACCAAGAATTAAAGAAAAAAAAAATCCTGACAGTGGAAACAATAAACCAGTGGAACGACTTGCCTCCAGAAGTTGTCGGTGCTCCATCACTGGAGGTTTTTAAGAAGAGACTGGACAGCTTTTTAGGATCCAGATGCCATCTATAAAACATTTTTTTTTATTAAAAAGTTTTTATTTTCCATTTATTCATACAAAATACAATTCAATTCCTAACCATTGGTACCGCCTGCCCATTCCCCCCAGGCTGCGTCCACCCACTCTAATCCTTCCCCACTTCCCTCCTGTTTCTCTCCTCCCCTCCTACTCTCTTCCCCTCCCCTTCTCCTCTTACCATCCTACTTCCACCCTGCACCTTCCTCCTCTCTCATCCCTCTCACACACACGAACGCAGCATAGGGGAAATGCCCAAGTATTTACCATGTCTATATTATTCTTACCCACCCACCCACTCACCCACCCACCCTCAACCCTCCCCCCCCCCGCTTCCCAGAGCAGAATACAAGGTTATTATTAAGAAAGTTAACAATAATAAAAAAAAGAAAAGAAGAAGGAAAAAAAGAAAAAAAGAGAAGAAAAAACATCATACTTAACCTTTAACTCCCCTTAAATTAAGTCATATAAACAAATCTCTACAACACTTACTATAAATTTTACTCATAAAATAAATGAAACTTTATAGTCCCATATTTTTTCTGAATATAATCTGTCCATCTTCTCCATACAATAATATATCTTTCTTGTGTATGATCCTTCAAATAAGCAGAAATTTTTGCCATTTCTGCAAAGTTAGAAACTTTAAATATCCATTCTTCTAAAGTAGGCAACGAGTCCTTCTTCCAATACGAGCCTACTAATAACCTTGCTGCAGTTAATAAATTCAACATTAAAGTAGTTTCTTTGTCATTTAAATCCACACAGATACCCAATAAGAATAATTGAGGGGTGAACTTTATCTTCCTTTTAAAATTTTATAAAAAAATTCCCTCAGATTTTGAGCCTGCATAAATTTAACATTTCTAATCCAAATTAACTCCCATGAATCCAATAAAATAAAAAGTTGTCTTGTATGTACCTGAACCTGCAACCTAAATGTTGGAGATGTGGTAGCCTTGATGCAACTTATTTTTATGTTTGGTGGACCTGTAAAAATATTAAAGCCTTTTGGATTATGATTTGGTGGAACATTCAAAAGGTTTTTAAAAGGAAGATTAAGTTTACTCCCCAATTATTTCTTTTGGGTATTTTTGTGGATTTTGATGCTAAAGAAACTATTTTAATGTAGAATTTAATAACAGCAGCAAGATTATTGGTGGGTCAATATTGGAAGAAAGAATCTCTGCCTTCTTTAGAAGAATGGGTATTTAAGGTTTCTAATTTAGCAGAAATGGCTAAAATTTCTGCTTATTTAAAGGATCATTCACAAGAGAGATATGTTATTGTAGAGAGAAGATGGATAGAATATGTTCAGAAGAAATATGGAACTACAAAGTTTCCTTTATTTTATGAGTAATGGATTTGTTTATAAAATTAGGATGTTAAAGTTTGAAGAGAGTTAAGGGTTAGTATGATTTTGGTTATTGTATAATTAGTAAACTTAAGTAGATTATGTTTAATATGTTTGTATAACCCTGTACTTGGCTCTGGGAAGTCGGTATAGGGCAATGATGGCGAACGTTTTAGAGACCGAGTGCCCAAAATCCGCCCCCGCACCCCCTGCAGGGCCACTCACCACCTCCATGGCCTGCCGCAGATCGCCCAGGTGCCGCAGTAGCGCCATGGCGGCCATGCCTTTTGCCTGCACCCCGCAGCATCATCTGCATGCGATGGGGCGGGAGGGCGGAGTCTTGTCCCCGCTGCCCGGCTGCTATGTCCTTGGCTGTGCTGCGACACGTGGCCCGCACTTGGGGGTGACTCTCCTTGGGGGGGGGCTGCTGGAGAGGAGGGGGCCATGGGGGGAGGCGACGGCGTGCATGCCCATAGAAAGAGATCTGAGTGCTGCTTCTGGCACATGTGCCATAGGTTCACCACCACTGGTACAAGGTCTCCTGCTAGAGCAGGGGTTGGACTAGAAGACCTCCAAGGTCCCTTCAATTCTCTATTCTGATTGATTGATTGATTGAACTAATCAAGGAGAGAAGCAACCTGGAATTAAGGAGAAACTTCCTGACAGTGAGAACAATTAACCAGTGAATGACTTGCCTCCAGAAGTTGTGACTGCTCCATCACTGGATGTTTTTAAGAAGAGATTGGACAACAATTTGTCTGGAATGGTATAGGGTGATGTGCTGGAGTAGTGGGTTGGACTAGAAGACCTCCAAGTTCCCTTCCAACTCTCTTGTTCTATAGTCTGTCAAAAGGGGGCTAAAGAGGAAAAGAACGTTGTGAGGGTGGAGATTCGTTCACCAAAGCTTGTGGGTAAGTTTCTGAACATTTTGTTACCAAGTTAGGTAACATCTTCAGCAGAGTTTAGGACAGGAGTAGGCAACCTTGGCTCTTTTATGACTCGTGGACTTCAACTCCCAGAATTCCTGAGCCACATGCCTCTCCCTTTCCCCTCAGTGTGGCCTGCTCAGGAATTCTGGGAGTTGAAGTCCACGAGTCATAAAAGAGCCAAGGTTGCCTATCCCTGTCCTAAGTCCTCCTGTTCTAAGCAGTGAGCCTCCGAGACCAGGGGTAGGCAACCTTGGCTCTTTTATGACTCGTGGACTTCAACTCCCAGAATTCTGAGCCAGCATGGCTCAGCTTGGAAACCTCTCCCTTTCCCCTCAGCATGGCTGGCTCAGGAATTCTGGGAGTTGAAGTCCACCAGTCATAAAAGAGCCAAGGTTGCCTACCCCTGGTTTAGGGGTCAGTGTCCTTCTGCTTATAAGGGCTTCAGGTGAGGGTGTGTCAAGTGAAGGTCTGGTGGTAGGTCAGGTGTGAGTCATCAGTGAGTCTTATGTTGCGATGGGGAGGTTACATCAGGTGAGGGTTATTGGGAGGTGAACTGTTGGGGGGGCTTGTGCAGGATGGTTAAAGGTTGGTGCTGTCTCTAGTTGGCTGTGCTGTTGATTTGGATTCTGAGGGGTTCATATATCATTGACCTACAAGCAGCCTACGAAGCCCTTAAAATCCAAATCCACCACACAACCAACCAGAGATGGCACTGACCCTCAACTATCCCACACAAGCCCCTCCCCTCTCACCAGCAGTTCACCTCCCAGTGACCCTGACAAGATCAAAGCAAAGGTCTACCTATTGAAACTTTATGGAGGCTGAACCCAGAAAGAAACCAGATGTCGATGCTGATAACATCGGATGTTCTTGCTTTGACAACATATGAAGATGCAGCCTTTTTCTTTCTTGTGCTTTACTCTTAGAATTAGATGTTGCTCGGGGAGGAGGAGGAGGAATGTGATTGGAGTTAGTTAGACATAACAATATTGAACTCGTGTGTGAATTCTGAGCTTGAAATAAAGATGATAAGAAATGGCGGGTTGGAGAACTGGAGGGAGAGCCTGCATTTCAAACTAATTGGAGAATGTGATTTATGACAGTTAATTAGAGGAGGGAATTGTGTTTGACACTGTGTGCTCAGGGGAGGGGAATCCAGATTTTGGCTTCTCTTATGTGCGTGCTGATGCTATGCTGTTCAAATAAAGATTCTTTAAGGTAAACAATGCCTCAAAGTTCTTTGAAGAGTTTCATCTGTTGGAACCATGACACCAAACTGTAACACTCCGCTCAAGAATCCAAATAAAACTCCAGATTAATTCTGTTTCTGAAAATCTTAAAGTTTATTGAATACACTGCATGGTTATGCCGAAGCAAAAACTAACTCTGAGGTTCCCACACCAGTTCATAGACTTAAATAATACTTTTCCAGGCCAAATCCCCAACGTCTTACGTAATCCATATCAACGTCTACTTTGTTATGGGAACCATCTGCTTCAAATCCACACCTGGTCTGGTGTCCTTGACGAGACTTCAGGCTCCCACAGTCTGCAGCTGAATTGAAGAAGCTTGGTTTCTCCATCTACCCAATTGGATGTAACACCTCCCTCCACTTTATCTAAAGGTGAGGTGAAATGCAGAGGCACACAGCTGCCAAAGTTTCATACTTGACACAAACTGGGTGTGTGTCATAGGCTTGGTAGTCCTCTGAATCAAAATCATGACACCTGGGAGACATTACCTGGTGCTGTACAGAAAAGAGAGAAGGTAACAGGAAGATCTCCGAGCAATACCCTGTGTAGTTCATTACAATTCTCCTAGCACAGATGGAGAAACCTAAGGTCAAGTTCTCTTCTGATTGACAGTCTAGCTGCCTTCCCCTTGGCGATTTAGAGTCAAAGCCAACACTTTGAATTAGGACTACAAATGTACTAGACGTCCATGAAGTTCTTTAAGAGCAAAGATCTCATCAGCTCGTTCCTACACACTCAACCAACTCAAGTAGAGTGATCAAAGGTTGAGAGAGTCAGAGAGCCATTGTGGGCCTCCTGACTTTTTAGTTGGCTGCAGAAAATAGCTTGGGTGATGTGTTGATGGACACTTGGAGGTGACCGCTTCTCTCCCCCTGACTGAGATTTCTGAGATAGGACAGCTCCACCTTTTAACACCTCGTATTATTGAGTCCAACTGTGACTCAATAATAAGCTTAGTGAGACACTGCCACCTAATTCCATTTCTTTTCATCCAGAACGTGACCAGGATGTTAAAATCTGGGCTCAGAAGATCAAACTCTTCACAGTTGACCACTCTAAAATGAAGACGATGTGGAGGCTGAACTCTTAATAGATTTTTTTTGTGTGTGTGCTCAGTGCATGGAAGGGAAGAAGAGAATTAAAATAGTGGAAGAAAGAAAGGGAAAGACTTGGAATTAATTTGGGGAGGCACCTGAATGATCGGGATGAGATTTAGTTTTCTCTGCTGGATGCAGGGATTCCATCAGAAAGGTCACCTTCTGTCTGGAGGCTGCTTGCAGCACCATAAGGAAGAGAGAGATTGTCGTGAGCAACATCAGACTGTGCCCTTGTCATTCATACTGGTAGCTGAGCTGCCGTATTGTATAATTTATATTTCAGTTAAAGCAACGAGTGATAATCATCTGCTCACTCAAGCAAGGTTTAAATCAGTCTTGTTAGCTCCCTGATTTTGAGATTGGTTTCTTAAGGTCAGGCTCCATCCTGTAGAGAAAGCAGAATGGAAGAGAATAGATCTGGAAGGGACCTTGGAGGTCTTCTACTCCAGCCCCCTGCTCAACCATTTCAGACAAGTCAGAGCTGAAGGAGCGTCTCGGAGGAGAAGCGAAAGGTCTTCAAAGAAAAACCAGAAAGTCCAGTTACCTCCTGAAAAAAAAAAACACCTTTAGGTTCCCATCACAATGTAGAAATGAGAATAGCTTGAATTGCCACAACAATGCTGGGACGTGGGAATGGGCAGAGAAGGGCAGTTCAGCACCGTTTCACCACCTGTCCCAACCTGTCACTTAAACTAGCTTTTGTGTTTTCTTGTTTGCTTTGCCTGAATGATCAGGCCAGTTCTTGTCCTCTTTTTTTTTTTTTTCCTAAAAAAATTTTTATTTTCAATTTTACAATACATAACATTCTTAAAAATACTTCAGATAAAAAATGAAACAAATTGATACACAGAACTTTCGGTATTGCTCACCCATTTCCCCCCAGACCACATCCACCCTCTAACCAACTTGCCTCTTTCCCTCTTCTTCCTCTTCCTCACTCACCCCCTCTCCTTCTTCTCCTCAACCTCCTACTTAATTCTCACCTTCTTCCTATCTTCTCGCTCCGGATGCAGTCCAGGGGAAATGCGTGAGCAATTCCTCCTCCAAATTGAAACATCAATATTATATACAATAAAACTATTTCTACTTATCTACTTAAACTTGAACCCATCCTCCCCCCACCCCCTTCCCCCTCCCCCTCCCCCCCTCTCCCCCGACTTCCCAGAGCAAAGTACAGGGTTATACAAACATATTAAACATAATCTCTTTAAGTTTACTAATTATACAATAAGCAAAATCATACTGACCCTTAACTCTCTTCAAACTTTAACATCATAAGTTTATAAACAAATTCATTACTCATAAAATAAATGAAACTTTGTAGTTCCATACTTCTTCTGAACATATTCTATCCATCTTCTCCACACATTAAAATATCTCTCTTGTGAATGGTCCTTTAAATAAGCAGAAATTTTAGCCATTTCTGCTAAGTTAGAAACCTTAAATACCCATTCTTCTAAAGAAGGCAGAGTATCCTTCTTCCAATATTGACCCACCAATAGTCTTGCTGCTGTTATTAAATTCAACATTAGGATAGTTTCTTTAGCATCAAAATCCACCAACATACCCAAAAGAAACAACTGGGGAGTAAACTTAATCTTCCTTTTAAAAACCTTTTGAATGTTCCACCATATCATAATCTAGAAGGCTTTAATATTTTAACCTCTAATCCAGGAGTCCCCATCTTGTGGACCGCAGCCCGGTAGTGGGCTGTGGGCTGCTGGCCAGCGAGCGGCAGGACAGGCTGGCTAATGTGCACACGTGTGTGCACAAACCCTCACTCACATTAGCACTGCGGCCATGGGGTGCGCAAACAGGATGCCGCCCCATGTGGTGAAAAAACGGGATGCCATCGTGCCTTGGGGTGCAAAAACAGGATGCCGCCGTGCTGCGGGGCACAAAAAGGGCCGATGCTGTGCCTCAGGGCACAGAAACGAGCTGTGCACAAGAACAGGGCAGGGCTAGCGAGTATCAGGCAAGTGCTAGCCCCGCCCTGTTTGCGTCACACTCACGCTTGCGGTCCCATGCACATGTGCGCGTGCGTAACGTGTTTTCCCTTCCCTTTTGTTCCGGTCCGCCAAGCAAGAAAAGTTGGTGACCTCTGCTCTAATCAAATATTCTGCAGCATATACGAAGATGATCCTCAGAATATCTTTGATTCTGGAATGCAGACTAGACAGTATTTGGGTGAGACACACAGCCTTGCTGGAACATAGCACAGCCAATTGCCATCCCTTCTGTTGTTTTCGTTTTAAATAGTAATAATAAACAGACACACACATACAAACACACACACAAAATTTGTTCCTGCACCAGCAAAAGCAAAAAAAAACTTGCCTTTTGCCAGCAGACTAAGCTGCTCTGGATCATAAAATTGTTTATGAGTCCCAGGCGCAGCTGGCCACATGCATAAAAATGGCCAAAGTTTTCTTTCAAAATATTAAATAATTCATTGCTTGGATAAATATTTTACATGGACGTGATCCAAGTGTACATGGCTTCATTGTGTATGTTAACGGCAATGGGGAGAAATGAAAACTTAGGAAAAAGCTAAGTAGCAAAAGAAGATTTTACAAGATTTTTCCTTCCTTCCTTCCTTCCTTCCCTCCCTCCTTCCTTCCTTCCTTCCTACCTTTTCCCCTCTTTCTTTTTTCTTTTAATCTATCTTTCTTCCCTCCCTCTATTTCTCCCTTCCTTCCTTCCTTTCTTCATTCTTTCCTTCTTTCCTTCCTTCCTTCTTTCCATCCATTGATCCATCGATCCATCTATCATCTATCATTAAGAGTCAGTACCAGCCTGATGGCACATAATCCATCAATATTCAATGTTTTCATAAAAGCAGATCAATTTTCCTTCCTTCCTTCCTTCCTTCCTTCCTTCCTTCCTTCCTTCCTTCCTTCCTTCCTTCCTTCCTTCCTTCCTTCCTTCCTTCCTTCCTTTTGCCCTCTTTCTTTCTTCTTTTAATCTTTCTTTCTTCCCTTCCTCTCTTTCTCCTTCCTTCCTTCCTTCCTTCCTTCCTTCCTTCCTTCCTTCCTTCCTTCCTTCCTTCCTTCCTTTTGAAAATCAGCTTCCTTCACTGAGTTCCGACATTGAGCAGAAAATCTAGATAAAACTGACATATCTTTCCAGAAATTCCTAAACCGATATCTATAGGTCAAGCTATCATCTTCCCATTAAAAGAAAAAGCAGGTGAAAACTATGGAGGAAAGCCCAAACTTCATGCTTTTTGTAGAATTTATATTTAGCTGGGAAAAATAATTCTGGTTAGAGCAAAGAGCCAGAGAGAGCTAAAGTAAACAATCCAAAAAGCATTTAGTTATCATGGGACATTCTTACGTTATAATTTTCGATACCAACTTAATTTTTTCTTTTGTCCCTTTTTTCTGATTAAGGGCTGCATTGAACATTGATTTTGCCTCTCTGTCTGCGTCTGTGTCTCTATCTCTGTCTTTCTCTCCCTATCTTTGTCTCCTGCTTCAGCTGAGGGTTGGACTAAATGATCTCTACATTCCCTTCCAACTCTGTTACTCTCTTTCTCTCTTTCTCTGCCCCATCCCCAATGGCAAGACATAAGGCAGGACAATTCTCTCCCATATTTTTCCCCTTTACTATTTCTCACTACATTGCAGAAAAGGCAATTGACTTACAAGAATGTGGCTGCAATTTTCATGTTGAGAACTTGTAATCTTGCATGTAGACCGGCTCAGATGTTCAGATTGTAGTCTATAGACACTTCCTATCTTTAGGAAGATCTGGATAGATCTTTATTCCTGAATTTAGAATAGAATAGAGCTGGAAGGGACCTTGGAGGTCTTCTAGTCCAGCCCCCTGCTCAGGTAGGAGAACCTACACCATCTCAGACAAGTGACTGTCTAGTCTCTTCTTAAAAATCTCCAATGATGGAGCACCCACAATTAATGGAGGCCAGCTGTTCCACTGGTTAATTGTCCTCACTGTTAGGAAGTTTCTCCTTAATTCCAGGTTGCTTCTCTCTTTGATCAGCTTCCAACCATTGTTTCTCGTCCTGCCCTCTGGTTCTTTGGAGAATAACATGATCCCCTCATCTTTCTGGCAGCCCCTCAAATACTGGAACACTGCTATCATGTCTCCCCTATTTCTTCTTTTCTTTAAACTAGCCAAACCCAAGTCCCACAGCCTGTTCTTCATACGTTTTAGTCTCCAGGCCTTTGATCATTTTACTTCCTCTTCTCTGAATTTTTTTTCCAAATTCT